AATGCATGTAAAGGACATAAACAACTAATGTGGATACATCTAAAAACACTATATAATGCCAACCTGCTATTAAGTTGGAAGAACTGTGTTTTACAATAACAATGTATATAACTGACATAAACAACTAATGTCAGTACATGTAGAAACACTTGATATAATCCTAACCTGCTATTGAGTTGGAAGAACTGTAACTATGATATAAAAAACCTTTGACCACATATCCAACCTGTTGTTTTGTTAGGAAAAGCTACAAAACTAACCAACATCTAGCAAAATATTCTAAATGAAATTATACTGTGTTGGTAATGTCCAGTATCAAATAAATCACCTTTAACACAAACATCCATACCTATATGGTTGCATAAAATATATAAAATTCACAGTCACACAAAATACTGCTTTAAAATAAAACCACAATGTATTACTGGAAACACAGTTCTGATTAACGTACAAAGGTGTACTTTACCATCTGAACAACTTTTAACTTTTGTTGAATTAATTATTAAACAGCATTGCTATTTTCAACACAGACTTTACCTCCTAATCACCTACATGCAGAAAGTTTCATATATTAGACAGTTTTATATCTGCAACCAGAACTATAAGATACTGTTTCTTCTATTTGATAGTTTACAGAAAACATGATAATGCAAACACAGCTAAACCTGTGTAATAATACATTAAAAATAACAAAAGGCCATTTACCATACTGGTAATCGGTGTGGTCTGTCAAGTCATCACCTTGCTGTTCTTTTCAGCAAACACAGCTTTAGCAGCCTTCCGTACTGCAGTAAGAGCAACATCTAATCTGTCCTCCTCTTCTCCAGGAGAAATGTCATCTAACGTTGGGATGAGAGCCAACTGTTCTAAACGACAAATGTGGCCTCGCAATACAGACTGGATCAAAGCAATGGCCTGCAAGAAAACATCAGTAGATATTACTTCCTTAAATAAAATAAAAACACACTGTCAAGTGATATAGGTAAAACACTTTATAAACATTAAGTACATCCAAAACCAGATAGCTTTCTCAAAATAAAAATAAAAACAGTAAAAAAAGATGTGATAGTTCAAATTACAAACATAAAAAAATCATCACACAAGTAACTCAAAATTAGCTGTATCATAATGTTTCCTCTGAAAACAAAACTTATTAGAAGCTTAAACAACACACAAAAACTGTTACTTACAACTAGCTTTTCCACAACACCTTAGAGCACTAGTCCCCAATTAGTTCAGATGATGCTGATAGAAATATATTAGTCTAATATCAGACTAAAGGTTAAAAAGATATTAATAGCACACACACTGACATCATACTAAAGATAAGGTTAAGATGATGCTGATAGAAATATATTAGTCTAATATCACACTAAAGGTTAAAAAGATATTGTCTTAACCTTATCTTTAGTATGATGTCAGTGTGTGCTATTCGATATTGATAGAAATATATTAGTCTAATATCATACTTACATCAGACTGAAGGTTAAAAAGATATTGATAGAAACAATATCAGTTTAATAGCACACACTGACATCATACTAAAGATAAGGTTAAGATGATATTGATAGAAATATATTGGTCTAATATCATACTTACATCAGACTAAAGGTTAAAAAGATATTGATAGAAACGATATCAGTTTAATAGCACACACTGACATCATACTAAAGATAAGGTTAAGATGATATTGATAGAAATATATTAGTCTAACACGTCCAAATATCAGGATAACAATATTAACATGATGCTGATATAGAACACCAGAATTACAAACTAACCTATGGTAAACATGATACAGACAGAAAACTGATTACTTCAACACCAGACTGATACAAAGTTAACACTAACCACAGTATCAGCTCGATGTGAGTAACCACCATGGATTAATGCAATCAATTATACTTGAGGTAATAGGATACCATGTTTATGGGTAGCCGATTTATTTCATTATTTACAAACAACTATTACATCAGTTAGTGTTTTATAACATAATCAAATATACAACTGATCTATTAATGTCAAAAAGATAATCAACTAACAGAAATTAGTGTTTCCAACAACTGATCTATTAATGTTACAAAAATAATCAACTAACTGAAACTAGTGTTTCCAACAACTGATCTATTAATGTCACAAAAATAATCAACTAATAGAAATTAGTTTATTATCTTTGTGACATTAATAGATCAGTTGTTGGAAACATCTTTGTGACATTAATAGATCAGTTGTTGGAAACACTAATTTCTATTAGTAATAAACTAATAGAAATTAGTGTTTCCAACAACTGATCTATTAATGTCACAAAGATAATAAACTAATAGAAATTAGTGTTTCCAACAACTGAGCTATTAATGTCACAAAGATAATCAACTAACAGAAACTAGTGTTTTTAATTATTCTAACAATCAATTTATCAAAATCAGCTGTTATGAAAATAATCACCAACAGAAATTCCAATTATTTCAAATATCAAGTATTCTAATAATTGGTTAAATTAAATATCACGAAATTAATCAACAATCAAAGTAATCAAAATATTGCCATTATGTTTGTTTGTTATTAAGCACAAAGCTACATAATGGAAGGAGGTTCCATGTGGTGCAAGGGTCTCTAGCTCAATTACCATTGCTACTAAACTTGTTATTATAAAGCTACTAAGGCTATCTTTCACTGTTATTATCTTTTTACTGCTGGCTAGAGAGAAAGAAACTGGCTGACAGCACCCACCATCAACTCTCTGGCTACTTAAATGTAAAATAAAGTGTAAATTTACTGGATTTTTTACATTGTATTATGTCGATGTTGTATAAGCAGGTGTCTGAATCTCCCATCCATTCCTACAGCGTATTCCTTAACGTTGTTTAAGTGGGCACACATCTAGATGAGGGGCCAACATTCACTTGCTAAGTAGGAAATGTCCAGGTTATCTTAGAATGATATTTATGGCATAATTATTTTGGACAAAATGAGTAGTACAATGATAGATCAACACAGAGTTTGAAACTAGCACACACCCATTTGTTTGCTGTAGGGGGCATGCACTAATTAGTTAGTACCTCTGATTGTCCAGCTCTGATCACATTGATATCAGTTTAATGCAAGTAACAATTAGGGTTAAGTGTAATCAATTATACTGTAAGTAACAGGATTTAGTTAAGAAAGAAAAAAAATTACCTTGTCTTGCTTGCTGATGTCATCTGGTTTCTTTCGGCCAGAGCCTACAAAAGTAATTTTATCCATGCTTTTACGAAATGAGCACAGGTACGTTACTTTATAAAATATCTAAACATAAAACCATTTTGTTTTCACAAACAAACAGAGAGATTCAAACCTATCATTAAAAGATCTTGTTTGCATAGGAATCAGGTGAAAAGAATACATCCTCAAATATGACAAGAAACATTGTTCATATAAATGACTTAATACAGGTTAAAGAGACGACATTTAACCCAATTTACTGTGTATCATTAGGTATAGTAGACACAGCATATTTTAATTATTGCTTTGTCCATATTGATCTGTTTGAATTCAAGTGTAAACCAGCCTCAACACAACTTGCTCTTTTTTTGAAGTGGATCCATTCTCCTCAAACAAAAAGGTTTAATTCACTTTCAGACTAGTGAACAGTCCTTCATCAGGGATTGGGACCAACCACCACTGAGTCCAGCATGTAATAACCCAAAGTATTACAAACAAATGATTAAAATATATACCATTTAATTTGAAATTCTCAATATTCATTAAAAACGTAACTCTGAAACTTTGTGTTTGAAACACACAAACACACACATACACATATATATACATGAAGAAAAATAAACATACCTCGAAAAGACTGTTGCAACATATGCAAAAAACATGTGCCAGTAGCTATAAAACTGAACTTTGTTTTGTGATCATCTAAGATGTAACTGATATTTAAAATCAGCTCAAAAGGTTAAAAATGTTTACACATACATATATATATATATATATGTGTGTGTGTGTCTATTAACTGTAAACCATCAAGAGATTAGTAGTTAACACATAAAAAATGAAACAAATCCTTGGAACCACTGCCGAGATATAGCCTAGCCGAATCTGACTATATTGTTTCCTTCCTTCGTTTTTGCACACCCAATTTGTTTTTATGGCGTGTGTGTTTAATTTTCAAACCTCAACCATCATCTCAGTCTTTGATATTAATATCACTGCTTCCTTCATGATCACTATACTAGTAATAGCTTTTGTGGCCTACAGGGCTGGTTTTATCTTAAACAAAATCTACATTTTAAACTTTACAGTGATAAAAAATACTCTTACTTTTGTTTTTGTGAAAAATTTTGTAGAGTTTTGATGAGCAGTTTTCTTGTAAAATTTTAAATTGCCAATGTGTGAAATTTAGATTGGTTTCATGTGTAAACACACAAGACTTGTAAGTTTTAATTGTTTCTTGACAGCCATGACTTCTTTATCGAAGCTAATAGATTTATTTATAAGTTTAATTCATAAATTTATCTTCCATAAACATACGACAATATACTCGTGCTAGTTATATAACCTTAGGACTTGTTTGTATTCCAGTATTATTTACTGTGTGAGGGTGTGGCATTAACTTGTCATTTGACCACTTTTGTGTATGATTATGTGTATGTTAGTATTGACAAGTAACTCATACGTGTGCCATCATTAATAAAATTGACAACCGTCATAAAATAATTCTAAACCAAATACAGAGTTGCATCTAATAATACTGATTGCCTTGGCTGCATTCTGGTATCATTTCTTTTAATCTCTGTTTGTATAAAAAATAACTTCTTTTGGCCATGCTTGTTTCTGGGTTAGATATAATAATAAACAATTTAAGCAATGATGTTAACAAATATAACAATAAAGTATGCTTTACTTACAGAACATGAGCTGCTGGCTTCAAATACTGTTGAAAAAGTGACATCAACATAAACATGTTTAAAAAGACTTTACACATTATAAAAAGTGTTTTTGAAAATAATGTAGTACTGCATGTATAAATGTGTTTCTGAAAATAATGTGGTACTGCATGTATAAAGTGTGTTTCTGAAAATAATGTAGTATTGCATGTATAAAGTGTGTTTTTGAAAATAATGTAGT